AATATCTTCTCTCTGTCTATAGGTTGCCTCTTCACTCTGTTTCCTTTTTATACAGAAGCTTTTTATTTCATGTAAGCCCATTTGCCTACTTTTGCTTTTATTGCCTGTGCATATGATATGAGTTAAATGTCCAATCTCATTCTTTTACATATGACTATCTAGTTTTCCCAACCCATATATTGAAGGTCATTTTCCTATTATATATTCTTGGAAACGTTGTCAAAAATCAATTGACCATAGATGCGTCGATTAATTTCTGAGCTCTTTATTCTGTTTCATTCATTGATATGTCTCTTTATGCCAGTCTTGTTTTTAATTACTATTACCTTGTAGCAGAGTTTAAAATCAGATTTTAAAAAATCAGCTTTTATTTTTACTCCTGATTGTGCTGACTATTTGAAGTTTTTGTTTGTGTCTGTGTGTGGTTCCATATAAATTTGAGAGATTTTTTTTAAAGATATGAAAAAATGATATTAAAATATTTTAAAGAATTATTTTATTTACTTATTTATTATTTTTTTCACATGAGTTTTGTCAGAGAAAGAGAGAGCGAGAGAGAGAGAGAGAGAGTGCAAGCCTCCAGATCCAGGACTCAAACCAGAGTTGGCCATGTGGGAATTCTGGCACCTTAACCACCACACCACCTGCTGGCCACAACATTAAGATTTTTATAGAAATTGCATGGAATCAGTAGATTCTATTGGTAGTATGGCCATTTTAATAATATCAGTTCTTTCAATCCATGAACACATGAGGTCTTTCCATTTATTTGTGTCTTCTTTAATTTCTTTCATTCATGCTTTATAGTTTTTGGTGTATAGGTTTTTATCTTCTTAAATTTATTTCTAAGTATTTAAAAATAGAGTTGGTCTGATTCTTTTTTTTAATTTTTTTTGAAAGATTTTTGCTATGGAGTGTGTGCGGGCACTCACTGGAGAGACTGAGAGACATAGAGACAGAAAGCAAGAAATCTCCAGGTAATGGCCATGTTACAATCCCTTCTCCTCCATTCTCCTTTCAGGACTTTGGGCATGCATGCACATGTGTTCAGCATGAGTTTCAAGCTGCTGGGTCTAGAACTCGAACTATGGTCGACCACATGAAAGTCCAGTGCCTTAGCCACTTGACCACGTGGTAGTCCAGCACCTTAACCATTGGCCACCTACTGGCCCTGGTCTGATTATTTCTTTCTCAGAAAGTTTCTTGTTAGTGTAGAGAAATGCTACTAAATTTTGCATTTTGATTTTGTGTCCTGCAACTTTACTGAATTCACTTATCAGTTATAATAGCTTTTTGGTGGGTTCTTTAGAGTTTTCTATATACGTAAAAATCACATCATTAGCAAACAGTGAGGTTCACTTCTTCCTTTCCTGTTCGGATGCCTTTTATTTCTTCCTGCCTTAATGCTATGACAAAGCCTTCCAGTAGTATGACAAATAGAAGTGGTAAAGGTGGGCATCCTTGTCTTGTTCCAAATATTAAAAGAAGGGGTTCCAATTTTTCACCAGTGCATATAAAGCTAGCTGCGAGCTTATATGTGACCTTTGTTGTATTGAAGTACATTCTTTCTACACCTTATTTGTTGATTATTTTTTGTTACAAAAGGATGTTGAATTTTGCCAAACATCATCTAATAAGATCACATAATTTTTGTCCTTGAGTGTGTTCCTGTGGTGTATCACATTTATTGATTTATAAATGCTGAACTATTGTTGCACCCCATGGATAAGTCCCACTTAATTGTGGTGAATGATCCTTTTAAATGTGTTGCTGAATTTCATTTGCTAGAATTTTGTTGAGTATTTATGCATTTATGTTCATCAGTGATAATAGGTCTGTGGTTTTTTAAAAACTAGATGCAGTTCTTTTCCGTGTGTGCAATGTATTGTGTTTCTTTTTTCGCATTCAACCTTTTCTCTTTATCTTTGCTATAGGGCACATGTGTTCGCTGAAGGGACAGAGAGGCAGAAAGCGAGAAATCACCATGAGAATAACCATGTCCCCAATCCCTTCTCCTTCATTCTCCTCTCAGGATTTTGAGCACACACACACATGCGCCCAGAATGAGTTTTAAGCCACCGGGTCCAGGACTTGAACCATGGTTGGCCTTGTGGGAGTTCAGCAACATAACCACTATGCCATCTGCTGGTCCCTTTGACTTTCAATAGTTTGATTGTCCTATGGATCTCTCTGTGCTTGCATTAGTGTTCATTTAGCATTTTGCATGTACAAATTTGTTTTTCATCTAATTTGGGGAAATTTTGACCTTTATTTTTTAAAAGTTCTTTTCTACCCCATTCTCTTTCTTTTTTCCTTCAGTTATTCCATTTTCATGTATAATGAATTATTCAATATCTGTAGCAAGTCTTTAAGGCTTTTGTTCATTTTTTTCCTTCATTTTTTTGAAAGATTTTTGTAATAAGGCATGTGTGCTTGTCAGAGAGACAGAGAGAGAGAAAGTGAGAAATCATCTCCTAGGGGGATGGCCTTGCTGCAATCCCTTTTCCTCCATTCTCTTCTAGGGATTTTGGGCACACATGCACATGCACCTGGCATGAGTTAAGGAGTCACGTCTGGGACTCAAACCACATGCAACTATGTGGAAGTCCAGTGACATAACCATTATGTCATCTCCTGGCCCTCTTTTTTTTTTTTTCTTTCTTTCTTTGGAGAGGTTTTTGTTATAGGGAGCATGCACTTGTCAGAAAGACAGAGACAGAGAGACAGAATGCGAGAAATCACCCCCTGGGGGCATGGCCACACCGCAACCCCTTCTCCTGTATTCTCCTCTCGGGATCTTGGGCATGCACGCACATGCGTCTTGTATGAGTTTAAGCCATCGGTTCCAGAACTCGAATTATAGTCAACTAGAGGGAGTCCAGTGACATAGTCATTATGCCAACTGCTGGTCCCCCCATTTTTTCTTTAAGTTTCTTCCATAGTTCAGGTGCTCATGCCAGAGAGAAACCAGAGACACAGTGAGAGGGAAAGTGAGAAATCACCCCCAGGGGAGATGGCCATGCCACAATCCCTTCTCCTCTACTTTCTTCCTGGGATTTTGGACACACACACACACACACACACACACACACACACACATGCACGCACAAACTAGGTGTGATTTTCAAGCCGCCAGGTCTGGACTCATACCGTGGTCAGCCATATTTGAGTCTAGTGCCTTAACTTCTGCTGTCTGCTGGCCCACTTTTGTTTATTTTTTAAGAAAATAATTATTTATTTAATTTTAATTATCATCATCATCATTATTATTTATATTTGCTACAGGGCTAATGCATTCACCAAAAAGAGAGAGAGAGAATGCAAGAAAGTAAGTCGGAAGGTCCAGGACTCAAATCACAGTCAACCATGTGGGAGTCCAACCCCTTAACCATCATGCCACCTGCTGGTCCCTTTTTTCATTTTTAAAAATCATTTTTCTCTGTTGGTCACCTTGGATGATTCCTATGATTCCACCTTTAGTTCCTTCAATTTCACTTACTTTTTCCTCTGTGATTTCCTTTTTGCTGTTAAATTCATACAGTGAAATTTTTTTATTTCTGAATTTAGAGTTTTCAGTTCCAGAATTCCCATTTGGCTTTTAAACTTTTCTTTCTTTTCCTATGCTGTTATTTTCTATTTGTCTATGGAGATTTTCATTCATTGAAAACATGTTTTGTTATAATTTGAGGACAGTTAAAATAATCACTTTAAAATCTTTATCTGTCAGTGTCAACATCTGATTCATCTCAGTGTTGGTCTCTAGGGAACACGATCTATTTTCTTGATTTTTATGTCAGATACTTTTGGATATCACCCAAAATTAAGACTTTGTGAATAACTATGAAGAATCTAGATTCTACTATTTTTCTCGGATCTGTTTTTCCTGTGTATTAGGAGGTAATTTTCTTGACTGGATTTGAACTGCAAGCTCTTCCTTTGAAAGCAGCTCTGGTCTCATCTTAGGTCTTTGTTTTTTAACTGAGCTACTGTGATTCTGCTTTGGGTGATTCAGAATCAATTAGTTCACAAACTGATAGATTTTCTACAGCTATCCTGGTGCTGCTGAGCCTGCCTGCTGGACTACACTTAGCTCCAAACTAATGCCAAGGAGAAGGAAATTCTCTTGTTTAATATCTTATCTGTTCTACCTCATGCAAGCTTGCTTGGCCTTCCTACCAGTCTGCTTCTGTTTGTATTCCAGTAGATTTGGATAATTACTTTCTGCATTATGCCCAAGTTTACAGCTGTTTTCTGTTTGGGGATCATCTAGTAGTCTTAGTCTTACCTGTTTGGAACTCTGCCTGGGACTGAATTTTGAATCATTTTAGCACTGGTTAATACTCTAAGCTAACCAGTCCCTGTTTCTATCTTTGCCCTCTACAGTTTATTTCCAACATGTCAGAGTGATCCTACTAAAATGTATCTGGAGACTCCAGTTACTTCCCATTTCGCTCACAGTAAATCCAGAAGTGCTTAACATGTCCTGGTCTGCCTGTCTGAAACTCCCTGTCCTTGGCCAGGGGTGGGGAAGGGGGTATCCCATGCTTATGCTGGTTTATAGCTCGCCTTTCGACCACTCATTCAACATCTCATGTTTTCTTTTATTTTTAAAGGTGGGTCCTCCCTAAAAATATCCTTCGACCTTTAACTCTTACGACTGTAAACACAGAATGAGGCTTTTCCTGCTCCCAGGAATCAGAGATCTGGCCTCAATACTGAAGGCAGAAAGGACTTAAGTATCCCCCTTTTCTCCAGAGAGCTACTAACAGCGCTGACTTGAGGAGGGTTAAGGGGTTCTAGGCTCAGGGTCTCTTGAACCTTCTTCACGTTAGAATCAGCCTGGATTTGAATAAACTGAGCGAAACTAGGGAACGTTCGCGCAGTTTTCTAGCTCCCCGTGTCAGAGGGAGGGCTGAACTAATTCTCCCGCGTGTATCTGCGCTCTCCATCACGAATGCCGCGGGCAGCGCGGAGGCGGAACCCAGAAGCGCGCGCCTCTGCTTCCGGCCGGGCGCAGGTCGTGGTGCACCGCCAGCGCGCTCACCGTCCGGTATGGCGGAGTGCAGCGATTCCCAGCCCACTCCAGGCTGCAGCGGTCTGGGCCCGGGCGGCGTTCGCGGCAGCGGCGGCGGTGCTCGATCATGGGCCCCCGAGGACGCCTGGATGGGTACCCACCCCAAGGTCAGGAGGCTCAAGAGGAGCAGGGCACCGATCCCGCCCCTGCCCAGGCGGAACTCCGGGGGCGCGTACCCTTTTGGCCGGAGGGATAACTGGCGACGCGCACCCACCTACGGAGGGACCCGCGTGCTCCCCTGCCAGCCGCAGGCAGTGTCTTTTTTACCCCCCAGTTTAGACAAGTTAAACCGTTTTTCTGACATCTTTTCCAGCCCTTCACATAGGACATTCTTAAACAAAGGGCGACACATTAAACCCCGCCCTTCTAGTAAGCGCTCCATTCTTGTCTGAGTTTTACTGTCTACCTATAGAGCGAGTTTTCGGACATGAACCCCGTTAACCCTCACAGTAACCAGGCAGACACTTTGTGGGCGAAACTCTGAGAGTCCATAACGGCAAAAGTTTAGGTACAGTCATGTTTATGCTCAGCCTTGGGCTCAGGCTGTGTCTTGCTTTTGCAAGTGCAGATTTCTTGGAAATTTTGAGTAGGTTCCTGTCCAAAGCATAGTTACTCATTGTGAGTGTGTCATTTTTATGTATAAGCAGCAAAGAAGATGGAGATGCCCCTCCCTCTTGCTTGTGGTTGACAAATTGTTGCCATGTATGATTAATATCCCACACAGTGCATGGATGGTGAGTGGAGATATGGTTTTGGTAGGAATGTCAGCGACTATCCTGGTACTTCAGTAAACTTGCTCTTCTGCATTAGAGCAATAATTCATGGAGAATTGTCTAAAAGCAGCCCAGAAATGCAAACATTTGAAGCTATTACTCTTACAGGAATAAAGCCTTTTTTATTTTCTCTTGCTTGATTTATCCTCTGCTCTGTCCCTTTTGTCCTCCCCAAAAGGTAAGAAAAAGAAACAGTAGCATGGGAATGTTACTCAGTGCTGTAAAGAAGAACCCCTGTTTTTGAATCCTGGTTGTCACTTAACTGCTTTGTGATTTGGGGCAAGCTTTTGATTTTTTTTTTAATGCCTCAGTTTCCTTTTCTGAAAAATGGGGATAATATGATTATTACCTACTGTGATTATCATAGGGTTAACTCAGTTAATACACTATTTGTAAGGCATTTGAGTATAGGAAGCACTATATAAAGATAAAATAAGTGAAACATCAGTAACAATTTTTAACTCCTTATCTAGATTTGGTGTGGCTATCCTGACAATTTTCATACTTGCAAGGTTTTTCTTCTTCAAAGTTAATATCTGTGTAGACCCTGACCATTAAGTCTTCCCTATTGATTTTTCTTCTTGAAAAGTCAAATTGATTTTAAAAAGAAGAAAGAAAAAGATAATAGTGGGTGTTTTATTTTTTCCAATCTCTTATTTTGTTATTCAATTTAAAAACTACTTTTGTCCTTTTAGTAAAAAATGTATCAGATTTACCATCCTCCTGTTTAGAAAACCTCAATGTTTCCTTATAGATAAAATTCAAACTTTTAACTTGGCTACCAAACCCTCTCAACCTCACCCTAAATTATGTTTTGCCATTATTAAACGTATTTAAGGTTTGAAGCAGACAACTAATAATACTCCTATTCTCCTGCACCTGTTTCTTTCTTTTAGATTTTTCGCCATAGGGTGTGTGTGCTTGCTGGAGAGAAACAGAGAGACACACAGAGAGACAGTGTAAAATCACCCTCTATGGGGGATGGGCACACTATAATCCCTTCTTCATTCTCATCTTGGGATTTTGGGCACAAACACACACACATGCGCCCAGCATGTTCTTCAAGCTGCCAGGTGCAAGACTCAACTATGGAGTTGGCCGTGTAGGACTCAGCCATCTCAACCACCACTCCACCTGTTGGCGCTTCACCTGTACATCTAAGTTGAAGCCAATGGGAAAATGTGACTTCAGTTTTTACACCATATATGTCTGCTGATACCCCACGTCCACCACGTTATCCCTGTTTAATCACCTCGTCTCCGACATAGCTGGACAGCCTCAGGCTCCTCTGCAAGAGCAGATCCTGAAAAATGCTGATGTAAGAAACAGCAGGATGCTTAGTCCTTCTTTAAAATCTAGCAATTAAATAGCTTTCTACTCTTCAGTGAGAAATGGAGGGGAAAGAAGCTAGGAGTGGTAGTCTAGCAGACTCCTTCCACATGCAAAGAAGATGGCAGAGAAATAGAGGCTCCTTACTGATGTCCCAACAAAAATCCTAGTACAGTTTTACTCTGCTCCTGCACAGATAGATTTCTTTATAAGTTCTGGAATATATGTGGCTTACTTCTACCTTAGTGTGGTTACCACACTATTCTCCACTTATTCAAGTAATGCATGTCCTTCAGTGCTCAACTTACACTATCTACCTCTACAATGAAGACGTTTCCAGCGAACCCCACTGAGTACCTGTTGTGTCTTTTTTTTTAAAAAATCACACTCACATGGTTTTTAATCACTAATTGTTTAACAATGGCAAGTTCTTTAGAGACAGGAATCAGATCCTGTATTGCCTTTTAACTTCCACTCTAGCTGGAAGAAAGTTTTATGTCTTATATTTAATGAATACTTACTGACTGAAAGAAAATATTGAGAGTCTTCTTTTTCTTTTTCATAATTACATTTTGATTTTCAGTATTTAGAAATGATGGAATTAGATATAGGAGATGCCACCCAAGTTTATATAGCATTCCTGGTTTACCTGGACCTCATGGAGAGTAAGTTGTTTGTTTATATGTTTTACTAAGGGGGCTGTGCTGAGGGTTTGGGGAGCTGGTTTGGAATATGGTATTGTTGACATTATAATAAGCAATCACTTAGATGGCTTGAGAGTAGCACAGCAGTAAAATGCTCTGCGAGGCTCACCCACATGGGAAGGTTCCAGGTTTGCATCCAGAGACCTTCCTGAGTACACAGGACAGCATGTGCCCATGGTCCAGGGCTGGTTGAAGCCAGGCTTGGATTTTAGCATCAAAACCTTATTGTGGGTGCTGGCTTTCTCTATTTTTCTCTCTAGTCTCTCTTGCTCATGGAAGAAATAAACAACAATGAAAAAGTAATAATCATTTATGCATTTGCTATTAGTTTGCTATTCTGTCAATGTTATAATTTCTTTATTCACTTATATTCATTTATACTGGGTAACAACATACTAGAAAAATAGAGGAGGTAGTGTTAGAAGTGATGGCTGCTCAGCTGAGTATTGAGAAGACATTGGGATTTTAATCTTTTTTTTATAATGGTTATTGTCCATTCGATGGTGCTCTTTCAGGTAAAAGTTGGCATGAAGTAAACTGTGTGGGATTACCAGAACTCCAGCTCATCTGCCTTGTTGGTACTGAGATAGAAGGAGAGGGATTACAGACTGTGGTGCCCACACCTGTCACTGCTTCCCTCAGCCACAACAGGTGAGCCAGTGATTGTGGTCCTGCCCAGGTTAGTTCCTTTCCTAAGTGAAGCAGTAGGAATCATTAGGTTAAAGGCAGTAATATAATATTTTTCAAGGAATTGAGGATACAGCTTTATTCTTTTTATTCAAGGACTAAATTAATATGCATGTTTAGCAGGTATTTATTTGGTGTTTACTCTATGGTCAATACTTTTCCAGAGGGAAAAAATATATGATAGAATTATTATCCCAGGAACCAGCAGTTAGCGTAGTGGCTGTGTCTCTGGACTCCCACGTAGTCGACCACAGTTCGCGTCCTGGACCCGGTGGCTTAAAACTCATGCCGGGTGCGTGTGCGTGTGTGCCCAAGATCCCAAGAGGGGAATGGAGGAGAAGGGATTGTGGCGTGACCATCCCCCCTGGGGGGTGATTTCCTGCTTTCTGTCTCTATGTCTCTCTCTGTCTGTCTGGCAAGCACACGTGCCCTATAGCGAAAACCTCTCAAAAAAAAAAATGAAATATTATCCTTAAGGAAATAGGATAGGAAGTATTTATATTATTCTTGTGTGACTTTTTGGTAAAAATAAAAATAAAATCAAAGAAATAAAAAGTTTTATTTATTTATTTATTTATTTTTAATGAAAAAGAGAGTGCCAGGACAGGGGCTAAGGGGATTGGAGAGAGAAATGGATATTTTATTTTAGGTTTTTTTTTTTTTAATTTTTATTTTCTGTAGGGCATGTGTATTCTCTAGGGGGAGAGAGAGAGAGAGAGAGAGAGAGAGAGAGAAAGTGAGGAATCACCCCCCTGGGAGAGAATGCCATGCCACAATTCCCTCTCTTCTATTCTTCTTTGGGGATTTTGGGCACATGTAGACACACACACACACACACACACACACACACACACACACAAACTGTGTTTTTCAAGCTACCAGTCTGGGACTCACACTGGCCAGTTGGCCATGTAGAATCTAGCTGCCACAACTGCCATGCCAACTCGCTGGCCAAGATGGGGATTATAGACAATCCTACAATGTTGGGATCCTCCTGTCCCAGCACCTACATAGGACCACAGGCATGGTTCTTGGTCAGAAATTTAGAACACCAATTTGTGAGGATAAACTCCATCTGTAAGGGCAAACATGGATTGAAGGTAGCCCTGAGCTGAGGAACAGCTTTGATTTTCGTAAAATCTGTGAGTCCACAGCTTCTGGTCAACCTTGCACTGCTCTGTAATCTCATTTCTCTTCCACTGTGTTGAGGAGCTCATCTTCCTGATATATGGGTTTCTACAGCTTCTTTTTTGAAGTAAACATCGGAGAAGTGTTTTGCTAATATCAAGTTTCGTGGTGGTGGTTGATGACAAATTTCTGGTGTGTTCTATGCAGTGGATCTCCATTGAGGACCAGAGGTCCAGTCACAGGTAGCAAGCCATAGCTCAGCAGCTTTAGGAGAACGATTCTTTTGTCTCCGTGGAGTCTAGTGAGGATGATCAGAATGGTCCTGGGAGTGATGCTGGCTCATAGCTTTCCCACAGGCTGACTGAAGGGTTTTTGCCATGGCTCAACAGCTTTCAAGGCACATATTCAGTAAGATAATACATGGATTTCTTGTGAAGTTTAACCACTGGGTACCACCATTCTTGTCACCACCAACTGGTTTTGTGATGGTGCCAAGAATTTTTCCCTTTTTCTTTTCAGCCCTGGATTTAGTGGCCGATATTTCATCTTGTACATGGCCTTTCTCAAATACATGGCAGGTCAGGAGTATCTGCCGATTCCTGGAACTCAGGCCAGATTTTGGCTGCAATAGGGCTTTCCCTTCTTGGCCTATTTAGGGTTGGAGTCACCCTTTTAACCTTGTTGTTGGCATTAGCCTTCTTGACTTCAGGTTTCTCCTCTTAGTGTCTGGCTTCTCAGCTTTTTCATCCACCATCTTGTCAACTGGGAAAGGGGACTTTTATCTATGTTTACTTGCAGTGTACTTGATAAGATAAATTATTACACATCTAATAGTAATGCTGCAATTTCAGACTTTTATGGTTAATGTAGGAATTGTCTTATATTAGTAATACAGAAAGGAAATTATTGACTTGGAATTTTTGGTAGCCTCGTATATAGAAGAAATTCATTGAGACATAACTAAAAGTATTTGGGTAGGAAGATATAAATGTTACTTACTATAAAAGAAAAAAAATATTTTTTTATTTAAGAGGGCAAACAGTTTTTACTTATTCAGTAATAAAGCATTTTCAAAAATAAAGCATTCTATGTGTTCACTTTTTTTTTTCCCTAGACATTTTTGGCTTAGGGCATGTGCACTTACTGGAGAGAGGGAGACAGAGACAGTGAGAGGAAAAGTGGGAACTCACCCCCTCGGGAGTATGGCCACACTGCAGTCCATTCTCCTCCTGGGATCTTGGGCATGCAAGCACACATATGCACCCAGTGTGATTTTTAAGCCAACAGGTCGGGGACTCGAGCCACGGTCGGCTATGTGGGAGTCCAGCGACATAACTGCTATGCTATCTGCTGGCCCAGTCTGAATATCATTCTTTGTTGGAATATATTGCTTGGACTTTTTGGGATTTAACAAATATTTTTCATGTGTCAGGCAATGACGTATTCTAAATTCCGGACATACCATGAATGAGACCCTACTCATGAAAATAATAATTCTAGCACCAAATATTGGCTTGGAAAATAAATTTTATTTAGTTTTTGGTAGTTGTTGGATGGAATCCAGTAAAAACAGTTGTCCTTCGTTCACATATTGAATTAGATGTGTGATTTGGGGCTGCCCCCACTTATTGCCATGTAACTGGAAAACAAGGGCGATGGAGTAGTGCATACACAGGGACATGTGCACGGTTATATCAGGATCCAGAGTAAGAGCAGGAGAATTCTGCACAGGCTGTGGGAGACTGCGGTTTCCAGGGCACCTGCTGCTAGTGAAGCATGACTGCCTGCCTGCCTGCCATGCTACCTGGTCAAAGTAGGTACTTAGTGATGCTGCTGGTGGCGGTGAGGCAGTAAGTGAAGGCATCACCTCAGGAGAGAAGAGGAGAAACTTTAGATTACAAAGGCCATCATGGTTTTCACTTTTTGACTATTACAAATGGCACACTAATGAACAAGTTCATAAGAATCTTCTTATATTAGAGTGCCACTAAAGGGGAAGCCTGGAGATGGAATGACTTGTACATATGACATCTTATACCTTCTTCTTTACTGGTTATTGCTAAACCACTGTCCAAAAGGATTGTCATCAGTTAAAATAGCCCATTGGCAATATATATGTTTTCACAGACTAGGAGAAGAGCTATAACGTGTGTATAAATGACAAGGAATCATTCTGAATATATACATAGCTTTGGTGACTCAAGGAAAAACCGCTTGATGGAGAAGACAGGCAAAGAATAGAAGTAGGTCTTTCAAGAATAGGAACTCAGATGCTCAAATCTATTTGTAATCAAGGAAATACACATATAAAATGGCTTGATCTTAGCTTTGCAGAAGCTTTTCAGACAGTTTATATATATATTTTTTTTTTTGGGGGGGGGGAGATATTTTCACTGTAGGGCGCGTGCGCTCGCCAGCCAGACAGAGAGAGACAGAGAGACAGAAAGCGAGAAATCACCCCCCAGGGGGGATGGTCACGCCGCAATCCCTTCTCCTCCATTCTCCTCTCGGGATCTTGGGCACGCATGCACACGCGCCCGGCGTGAGTTTTAAGCCACCGGGTCCGGGACACGAACCGCGGTCGACTACGTGGGAGTCCAGTGACATAGCCATTACGCTAACTGCTGGTTCCTGACAGTTTATATTTTTATTGTTTGACAAAAAGAGATAATTTATGGGGAACCTTTGAACAGAGCTAAAGCTAGCAGCTTGGGTACATTTGAGTAAATCAGAGAAAGGCGCTCCCTCTGAACATACAGAGAAAATGATCTGTTTACGAGGGTTCAAGGCTTGGCAAACATAATGGCCAGATTTCGGATCTTCTTGTACCCCACACACTTGGACCCACACACTGTTAAAGGCACAGTCAGTACAACTATGTGTGATTCCCTTCTCCTGAAGCAAGTCCGTTGAGGCCTAGGTTTCCAGAAAGGACACCCTAATAATGACTGTTAATGTGGAGGGTGTCACAGAGGGCTGTGAGCAGGGAAGTGGGACTACAGATTATTCTCTCTAGTTAGAAAAGAACTTTGCATTTGTAGAGACTTACAGTATTTTGAAGTATTTTAAATTGCTTTCACAACTGTGCTCTGATTTCATTAGCCTTAAAATCTTGGGTAGCCCTAGGTATTTATTTCATCCTAATTTTATATATAAAAAGTTGAGATTAAAATATTTGATTCGTACCCCTGTCATTTCTAAACGATTGAGTTGTACGAAGGTCTCACAGTTTCATAACTAATAGTTCCTCCTTCTTTATTGGTGTTTTCAAAACTTTTTTATTATCAAATTAAACCAGATACAGAAGACCACACAATATTAATGTGTAAGTAAATGAATAACTGAGAAGTCAAGTATCACTTTTTCATCTGTCCCAGGACCCTTTCCAGTATCTTATCCCAAGCCTAACTTTTCCTTCTTCCTAAAAGTAACCAGTATCACTTTGACAATAACAGAGACTTTGGCCCATGTTTTGTTCCCAAGACTTCTTAGAGCTCTTACTCAAAAAAGGCTATTGAGGACTGGCCCAGTAGTATCATGATTAACCATCTGGATCCCACATGGCCAACTATAGCTCAATCACTGGCCTAGGCAGCTTGAAAAACACCAGGCATGTGAATGCATGCCCAAAGTACTGACGGGAGGGAAGAATGGAGGAAAAAGGGTTGTGATTTGACCACACCCTTTTAGGGGATGCATTTTTTCTGTCTTTTTCTGGTGATCATATGAACCCTTTGACAAGTTAAAAAACAAACAAACAAAAAACTAAAAAAAAGCCTGTTGGAATGTCAGTACATGAGACTAATGATATTAGTGAGACTATTAATATTAATTTT